TTTAAGGGGACAGCCTAACACATTTCCAAATGAAGTAATTTACTAATGAAAAGAGACGTTTAAGTATCAAATATCAGCAATAAACTGGAAACTGATAGTGAAAAGATAGGAAGCTGCTGGTAATGCAGGGTAAACCTGGAATCCTGTCAAATGCAGACTCAATACAGTTAGATGGCTGTGACTTGGGTTAACGTCCATCTCTTCTTGACACCTTCACTTAAACTGCTTCATGGGCAAAAGCCAAGTAATTTTTGGAGTATGAATACACTGATATGTTTAATTCTGTTTCCCAATTATTATATTTTAATGAAGTCCATATTCTTTCTCTTTTTCATTTTGGTCTTGTTTTTTGTTTGTTTGGTTTGTTTTGTTTTCTGTTTTTGTTAAACGATCAAATCTTACAAATACAGCTGGAAATTCTTCTGTAGCCCTACCTGATAAAAGACTCCCCAGGACTCCCCCTTCCTCTCCAGAGGTTAACACCATTCCAAAGTAGGCATGTGTTAGTCCCATTCACATCTTTTTGCTTTTACTACATAGTTTCATAACCAAAAAGAACACACTGTATATGTTGTGTTTTTAAAATGTGTTCCAGTTCTCATTTTAATAATCCTCAAAAACGAAGGTATGTGGAGAAGTCTAACCCTTAATTTCAGAAGGACCATACACATGGCTTTCCTTGGTCGGATGTTTCAGTCTGAAAGTATGTGCATTTAAAAAAAAAAAAAAAAAAGTGGGAGGCGCCCGTTTGGGGCATGGTCGTTGGTCAGCGTCCGACTTCAGCCAGGTCACGATCTCGCTGGAGTCGGAATTCGAGCCCCAGCGTCTGGGTGATGGCTGCAGACCTGGGCTATAAGAATGATTCCTGGTATTTCATGTTCGCACTCCAGGTCTCCTCTCTCTGCCCTCCTCCCATTCAGTCTCTAGTTCCTCTACTCTCTGTCCCAAAAATAAATAAACGTTGAAAAAAAAAAAATTAAAAAAAAAAAAAAAAAAGAGCCTGATTTTCTATTAGCCGTTCATGTAATGCCTTGAAACACAAAGTCATCTTGCATTTCACTGCCCTAAGACTTGCTAATGACATTTGTTCTTGGTGCACGGTGTTTTACCACTTTGGAACATGGCATTTTTATGTCGGTAGCTCAGAAGAGCACCAGAGGAGCTCAAGCCCAAATCATGGTACCATGGTAATAAAAACAAGATACCCCACAGGAAAAAGATAATTCTGACCATTAACCTTAAATGTCAATTAGTACTACTTTCCGAGGACAAGTCAAAAATTTAGTTTCAGTCATCACTAACCTGATGAGGCATATTTTTTAAATGGACTTTCAATTAAGGTAAAAATTTAAGATTAAAAAAAAACTTGATAAAAATACTATATGGGAAATATATTACTTACCTTCAATGCCTCAATTCCCAAGAGAATTAGAGACATAATCATAGCTATATAAGCAGATGGCAGTGGAATAATAAGCAAATTCTTTGAACTAAATAAATAATAATCTTTCTATGGGGGTGGGTGGGCAAAGGGTAGAAGATAACCCCAATACTGAACAGTAAGTTCTAGGCAGTTTCCCTGTTAAACAATATGTGCTCTAAAAGCTCCTTTCACAGTGTATTGTTGGGACCTTAAAACTGATTTTTTTTCAGAGAAACACCATTACACATAAAAGTTAACCTCCAAGAGGACCCACAAGAGACTATTTGACCCATAATGGTAGAAGCAGTGATTCTACAATTTCTTTGAAAAAATTAACAGGTATGAATAGCACAAAAACACTCAAATAAGAAGAGAAATTAAAGCATATTAAAACATAACAAGCATTAAAATTGTGCGATACCTGTACAAAAGTAGAAATACAGAGTACACGAACAAAGTGGAAAGCCACAAAATAGATACGTTGCTATGTGTCAGCGTTCATTTTTGGGAAAGAAAATTTCTTCGAAAGAGAGGTGGGTATTTAGTATGCATGAGGTAAGGTTATAATAAATGATAAACCAATATGGAAAAAATTAAATTAGGTCTACCCCAGATGTATTAAACGATTAAATATTTCAAAATGAATTCTAAAGTTCTACTCATGCATTAACGATGATATTGGAAACCAGTACAAGCCTCTTATAAAATCCCATAACAATACACAGTCATCAGAGCAAGGTCAACTTCCCCTGACCTGACGGGGATGCAGCCCCTACAGAGATCTCTACTGCGCTAGGGGACCCATCTCCCACCTCTCACCATGACCTGTGCACCAGCCCTGCTGCCCAGAGGAACAGCAGCAGGCCCTCCACCTGAGGTCCTAAGCGTGAACAAACAGGTGGTCTGGGTCTGTGTGCTCACAAGCAGGACAGCCACTGAAAAGCCCTATATAGTGACCTCCTGTCTGCTGGCCAATTATGGTAACCTTCTGGGTTCAGGGCAGATAGCCTCTCACCATGACTATTACTCTGCTGTCCAGCAAGAACCAGCTTCTCCAACCCTTACTGCCAGAGTCCTTGTCCTGGTTACAGACAAGCAGAAAATGCTGCTTTGGTAATGATCACTGGGTACTCATGGTATCCTTGGTTTGGGCTAGTCACTGGCTACTGCTGAACTCTGACATTCCCAGCCAGCTCCAAGGTACCCAAATGTTTCCCAAGCTCAACTTACCCTGACACTGAAAAATACTAATAGTACAAAAACAGATGAAGAGATCAATGGATGAGTGGATGACTTGGTGGTAGGTTCATGGGTGGATACTCCATTAGTTGCTTTTAGAATGTCTTCAGTGGATTCTATACCCTTCCTATAAAAGGATGATGGTTCTGGTACCATACCATCCTTCATTTCTGAGATAACTCCTTACAACTGATTTCTGCTCATGACTTCACTAACACCAATGAACTATATGCTTTCCATCTGTCCAATTTCCCCCATGTGTCCAATTCCTATGTCAAACCAGATACATTATAGTATGTAACTACGAAAAACTGTTATCATAAAACTATGCATAATATACAGAAAAAAAAGGGGGGGCTTAAGATATATCAACTCTTTCCTTTGTTCCTCCTCGCATGACTCAGTACAAAAGCCATTAGGCGGGACTATGCAAAGCAGGCATCAGCATGGGAAGGGAGTAAGTTTCAGTGTCTGCACTAGAAGAGTGAGGGCAGTGGCGTGGTAGTCCAGCATGGGGTGTCAAAGCCTGAACAGGAAGAAGAGGATCCCTGCATGAGGAGGGGGCAGAAGTGATAGCATACTGGTTACATAATGGAAGTCAGGTTTATCACTATCAGAAAAGGGAGCTATTTACAAATGTGAAAAAAGGAAAAAACTAGAAAGAATGCTATGGTATTGTGTTGGGTTAGAGGTACTGATATGAACTCCTGGTCAGCAATATAGATGTTGAAATGCTGACACAGATACAGACATAAATATAGTGTTGTATAAATACAGACATAAATATGTGTTGTACACACAAAGACACACACTTTCCCTAACTCTTTTGACTAACAGGACCTGGGAACAGCAACACCTCAAGAGCGACAAATACGTCTAGAGCTCAGATCTTAGTTTCTAAATCCCATTCTCCACTGAGATGAACCAAGGCTCCTTGGAGAACTGGCTGATTCCAGCAAAGTATAAGAGATAAGCCTGGAACATGTTATTGTGTCAGAAATTAAGGAAGTGCTCATCGATGCTGGGGACAAGATCCAAGGACACAGGAATCGGCTTGGAGCAACTCCCACTCACCAAACCTGGGACAATTTGTGTATCAAAACAAATAATGACAGACAGACCAAGACCTACCAAATAAAATAGCGAGCCATGTGACCCTGTTGATACCTACAGTAAAAATCCAACTAATGTAGAAAGAGGGAGATTGCCACGTGGCATCCATCCGAATAATAATTCAATCAGACACCAGCACCCCCCAACATGGTTCCAAAACCAGTGGGTGAAAGTGTGATAAAGAATGGGTATTTATGATCTCAAAATCCTGCCCAATATCCTTATTAATAAAAAGGAGGAAGAGAGTAGCTTCATAGTAAAGAAGCCTGACAAGCTCCATTTTAATCAAATGATCAAAGCAAGCATCTCTTCAGTAATGGGACGTGGGAAAAACAGGGCATCATCTCTCGGACAGTCCTGTCAAGAAGGCACAATATTAGTGTCATCGCAAGGAAGCAGCAGATAGATGCTACACTTGTGTAAAGGGACATTCTGCAACATATTTGACCTGCCAAAGTCCCAAGAGTCAGAGGAAAGCAAAGGAACTCTTCCAGACTGAAAGAGACAAGACAGGTGGGGCAACTCAATGCAGCACATGATGCCGGATTGAATCCCGGACCCACAGTGGACATTGTTGGGCAAACAACAACTTGAAGGGCGTCTGAGGATCAGATGGCAGGAATGTACCGAAGTTTGTTTTCTAATCTGGATGCTTATCTTGTAATTACACAGGAAAATGCCATTGTTTAAAGGAAATAAACACTGAATTATTCAGGGGTGGTGGGGCATCATGTTGGTGATTTACCTTCAAATGCTTCTAAAACTAAAAAGTTCTTTGTATGAGAATTGCAACTTTTCCATAAAACTGAAATTATTTAAAAAGAAAAAAAAAAGCTATGATACCAGATCCTGTATGTATGCTACAATCACAACTATTCACAAAAAGAATACAAATATGGTAATAAAGTTACTAACAGCAGGCACTGTGTTAGGGTTTTGCATTTGAAAGGTGCTTTTTTAACTTAAAAAATTCCTTTAAAGTCATATTTCCATAAAAGCAATAATTTTTAAGACAACTATATATATGTTTAATTCAACAAGACAACTGGAATTATAAAGAAGTCCTCCAGCAAAACAGAAAACAGCATAATGAAGCAAACAGTCTGCATATTTCTTATAACTAACCAGCAATTAATTCTAAGATGCACACGTTCTCCCATTACCTGGCCAACTTGTACTCTAGCAACGGCATACACAAAGAACTCTGAAAACCAAAACCAGATACCTTGATTTAGGTGTGTGGCCTCCATGATCTGAACACCATTCACGGAGCACTGAGACCCGCTCAGGGGTATCAGAGTCACCGTCCCCCCGACGTTTTCAAAGATGCAGTGCTCACTCTCCAGGTCGAGGCCATGAAGAACTAAGTTGGAAAAACAAAAAAGAAAGATAATATCTTCTTTGTTATCGAGTACAGTGAGTCCCAACCTTTACTTATTTTTCCATATTGAATACCCTTCCTTTTCCATGTAAATATTATGAAGTGAACATTTATGTTCAGGGAGAAAAGTGAATTTCAGGACTTCATGGCATCAGCTGACAGACGCTGAATGTTACCTCAAAGGGTCTGGATTTCACCTGTGTAAGGAAGTAAGTTCTCACATGCTAATTTCTCTCATCTTCAGGGAGAATATAGTTAAGTAACTTGTCTTAATTGAATACCATTGTGTGGCTCAGGTGCTGAATAAATTTCCTCCACCAGCCACCCAAAGGTGACTGTAAAATGGAAGCAACAAAAGGGCTCTGTGGGTCAAGGCCCTTCTTATAACCTCTGCACTTATAGACACTGCATTCCAGGAGCAGAAACCAAAGGTGAACTTGGCCTGGCATGGATCTTGAGAGGCCCAAGGAAGTCTCCAGAAGCTGCACTGGGATGCACACCACCACAGCCTGTGCCAAATCTGAGAGAACATGACCTCCACTGACCTCTCGGAGCATGAGGCCGCTAAAGTACCTATTCTTGTAGGACTATACCAAGTTATTCTTACTTGGGTGAGTGGCCAGGCATGGACATGAACGCCTGTCAAAAAAATCTACACAATTTTAGGCACAGTTCTTGGCCAGCTTCTCAGAAGTACAAATCAAACAGCTTCCACTGTTCTCCACTGAACCATACTACTGAGCTTTTCTGTGCACAGAAAACATGTGTTCTTACCACTCATCATCATTTACAGCAACCCCAAAGGTCAAATACACAATTTAACGATCAGAAGAGGAGGCCTGACACCTAGTTCCACTCAAAAACAGCTGAAGCTCAGGACTTCTGGGAACTGGTTTTCAGCTCTCCCAGTTTCACAGCAAATAGTAAAACACACAGAACTACGCTAGCTTTGGCGTGATGAATAGCTTACACTTGGCAGGAAAGCAAGTCCATTACCAGCAATTCTAAAAACAGCTGAGAAGACAGAATTCTTCCCCTGCCACTCCCCACCTTGTCACACACACACACACACACACACACACACACACACACACACACACACACACACACACACACACACACACACACACACACACACACACACACACACCAACCACCACCACCACCACAGTGGTTGCCCGGCTATGCTTTTAAAGCCTAACAAGACCTCACCCTGCTCCCGGGCTGAATCACTGCTTATCTGTGGGTCTCGGCAAAGACTTTCAGGAAACCCAGAAGTCATACCTCCATATGTGTGTGTGTTGTGCACTCTGGCATCATTGCACAGGTGTCTATATCCTTCCTGTTGAGGGATCTGCTACCCTCTATCTATGTCTGTTGGCATATTTTCATCACTGTCCCATTGTGACGAGAGTAGAGTAATTTAAATTACTCTCGAAAGTTGTGACAGAGTATAGAATGTATATATGGTGGGGGTAAGGATGTACAATTCCATTTTATTCACTAAACTAATTGTTCTGTTCCATTCATTTGAGTTGCATTCAAAATTATAGAAATGCACATACTGATCGATACTGTATTTGCAAAAGAGGTTTTTTTTATAATCACTTTAGTGTTAGTCATTCGAAAGAAAATTCTTCATTAAATGGTTTTTAAAAATCACTGGGAAGAAGAAATTGATAAAGATTCTCACCAATATCCTGTTCTGTTGAAGCATCTTCTCGACCAACATATGTCTGACCTTCCTAGGAAGAAAAGTCAAGTTGAATTTATTAGCAAGAACATGAAGAATGGTCTGTTTCTCCATTTTTCATGTAAACTCAAGCAAGCTGGTGGCTGATAGGCTGAGCAATGTTCCAGACAGGCCATAGCCTCAGTGCAATTAGAGTTCACTGAGGCTCTGTAACAATGTCCCATGTTGCCCAGAAAATGCACAGGTCCTGAGGCTTCCTGCTCAACAAGGGTAGGCTCCTATTTTTGGCGTGCATCCATACTCTGTCCACGTGGGTAATCCCACTGATGTTCCTGATCCTTTCTGGCAAGTTTCTCCTCTAGGGGCCAAAGGTTCTTCCTATCTAAAGATACAATTTATGGGAGGCTGCAAAGCTCAGATCCAACACTATCCTCATTTTAAGGCATGGATCAGAGAGAGGATACTAAGTCAAGGTTACAGAGGCAACCACTGATACTAATGTGGTAATTCTGTTCTCTTGACACAAATTGCCAGTTTGGGACCAGGCCCAATAATGTAGGCTGGAGACACGCTTTATAATTAACCCGAGGGACTAGAAAATTACATGTAGCAAATCTCAGCTCCAGGTGGTTGTAACTTTCCTTCCTTGGTCTGCCTGCCTTTTTGTTCCTTACCTCTCTCTCACTGATTCACCAAAGTGGCAGGCAAAGTAAATGCATCTTCATTTAGCTTTAGAACTCCATAAACATGGGAACTTTTAATACCACAGAACACCAGTGAGCCATTGAAAATCCCCAAAGGGCTCAAAGATTTGTAGTGTATTCTCTAATGTAATAGTTGTGTTCACGGATGTAGAGTATTACAGGAAACCCTGCTAGTGTCTAAAGAGGAAACGGAAAACAAAATTATGTTCTACTTAAGCCATTTCTAACCTTCAAGTGATATAAGATGATTCCAGTACTCAGAAGGTCATCATCAATGCCAATCAAATGGGGCAGTTCAGAATCCAAAACAACTCCAATCCCTTCTTTCCTAAGGGCTAGAGTTTGTTCCTGAAATTAGGAGGGAAAGGAAAGGAAAGATTACTTAGAGGAAAGAGAATGAGTAGTATTTTATTTCTCATCAAAACAGCTGCAAGAAAAATGGAAAATCTTCATGCTGGGATCCTGGCATGTGGCAGGTAAAGTGAACTTGAAATATACAAAAAGCTCAATATAAAATGAAGTAAACTTATTGCCTGATGAATACAACCTCTTTGAAACCAAGCTCAGACCTTGCCTTGCTTAGGAAAGGTCCTAGGACCACCCAACTACAAAGTAATCTTTCTCCCTCTTCAGAACCCTTATTTCACTTAATATCTAGAAGTCTCCCAATATGTCGGCTCTTCTCACCAGTTACTATGGTCAAACTGTGAATGTTCCCCAAAGCAACCCTTTCCTGTGCATTAGCAACCTCTGTGCCAGATGTACTTGACCCTCTGTCTCCTGAACTAACTTCTAATACCTACCAGGTCATCCCTACGTACATAAAAATCTGCAACACATTCTCCCAACAATGACCACCATGACCACCCACCTTGGCTCTGCATCTCCTCCAACTACCAACAATTTCTCTGTGTCCCTTTGGAAATAATCTCCTCCAAAGTCTTCCCTACACTAGTGGTTTCTCCAATTCCTCCCCTCCCACTCTCTCCTGCAGGCTTTCATCCTTGGGACCAGAGTACCTATAGTCACTCCCTGATGACCGCATCCTGTCTCTGGACTTACCTGCAATCTACATGTGATGACTCAAGTCTAATGCTACAGACAGCCATCTCCCTTGACCCCACACTCATGCATACATACAATCACTTACCTCAGTGTATTCTATGGGGATGCCAAACAGGCAGCTCAAACCTAATACATTAAAAAACCAACTCTTGGGGTGCTTGGGTGGCTCAGTCGCTTAAGCATCTGACTTTGGCTCAGATAATGATCTCGCGGTTAGTGAATTCGAGTCCTGCATCAGGCTCTCTGCTGTCAGCACGGAGCCTGCTTAGGATCCTCTGTCCCCCTGTCTCTCTGCCCCTCCCTCACTTGTGCCCACCCACTCTCTCTCTCCCCCAAAATAAATAAACATTAAAAGAAAAACCCAACCCTTGATTTCCCCTGCTTCTCAAACCTGCACACCATACCATCCTGGTAAATGCCAACCTTCCTTCTAATTGTTCAGACCAAACACCAAGGCTATACTTTGCTCCTTTCTTTCTTTAAATCCTACATGCTTAGTGTTGACTCTGCCTTCAAAATATGACCTAATCTGACAACATTGAACCACCTGCACCACATTCCTCCTGAGCCCCAACCACCATCATCTTTCACCAGGCTACCACCACTGGTGCCCCACTGTGTCATGTGCTCTACTCAGCAGCCAGAGGGATGTGAGGGCAGGCTGCTCCCCTGTTCGAATCCTTTCCCTGGCCTCCCGTTTCATAGAGTTGAAAGCCCAAGCCTCTGTAAGGTTCTACGAAGCTCTACACGATCTCATCCCTTGCTAACCTCCCGTTCTCATCTCCCCCCACCTTGCTCACTCCTGTCTAGGAGTCCAGAGGCTCCTTGCCCTTCCTCAAACTTGCCAGCCCATCCCCAACTCAGGGCTTTAGGCATCGTTGTTCCTTCTGCTTTTGTGGTGGCTGTTTCTTCTGTCACTGTCTGTCCCTTCCCTTCCCCTAGAAGAGGGCTCCCAGACCCTGGCACTACTGACATTTCAAATCAGATGGCTCTTCATCATGGGAGGATGCCTTGTGCACTGCAGGTGGCTTAGCAGTACCCCTGGCCTCTACCTGTTAGCTATGATGCAATGGGAAGTTACGCAAATAAGAGGGCTAAAAGCTATCAGCAGAAGGGAGGAGGGGAAAGAACAAAAGTAGGGAAGGAATGTGTTGCGTTTTTGTAGAACCAACAGCTCCAGCCAAGGAGAAGCCCCAGTTAGGTGTTTGACCTGACAGTCTCTTGCTAGGTATGTCTCACCTGATATCCCTTTACATAAGCCAGCTTGAGCCAGATTGCAGGTGAGGACAGCCTGGGTTTTACAGAAACCCCCGAGTTGTTCTGAAGTTACCTTTAGCTCATTACAATACCAAGAGCCCCTCCGATAAGTGCAGTTTTCCACCATTTCAAAGATGGGATGTATGTACTGGCACGCTAACATGTCAGGCATGCACAACTGAACCCAATGCAAACTCCCTGCAAGCGTCCTTGCAAACCTGTGCAAGCTCCCTGCCCCTGCTCCCTAACACGCTGAATTAAAGTTTCCCGTATTAACCCCATGGGGAGACAGTTCTTTGAGAACTCTCTCCCTATCTCCCTATTGAAAGTTCTTTGTTTTCCTTGGGTGGCATTCAGTTTGGTGCACCCCAAGCAAACCCTTGAGTTCGGTTACATACCCACTAGATACCAGTAGTACCCTACTGCTTCCACAAGGCTGTGACAACCAAAAAGTCTCCAGATACAAGCCAATATCATCAACTACATCAACTCTAGTTGAGAAGAACTCACATACATGCGTGTGTGTGTGTGTGTGTGTGTGTGTGTGTATAAATATATAAATAACTCAGCCTTCAGTACCTCCAGTCTCCACTCAAATGTCACCTTCCCCATCACCCCATACAAAGTAATAAGCACTAATCTCCTTTATCCTGATGTTTCCCTCCTTAACAATTACCACTACATGATATATTACATATGAGCTTATTACCTGTCTGGACTAGAATATAAGCCAGTGCCTAATTTCATGTCTGACACATTGTAACTGGTTAGTATCGTCAAATCAATGAATGAATGAATGAATGAATGGTCAGGTACACGAAGTTCCGACAAATGCGGGCAGGGCGGCAACAGCGCTGGTCAGGCAACAGACCATGGGTCCCTGTCCTAACATAAGGCCCATCGGTACCAAGACAAAAGAGCTCTAAAATCAGGCTTCTAAACAAATCTGAGATAAATTCCAAAGACCGAAGGTGAAAAGTCCAGCCTTGAGGCTGGGCCATGCTGAGCTCTGACTGAGTCACGTCCAAGAGCACAACGCTGCACCCTGTGATCTTAGGTATAATGTGACCAATGGGGAAGCAAGCTCTAAGCTACCAGCCAGGTTCCTGGTAGAGACACTCCTAGCGGGTCTCTTCCCCACCCCACCCCTATAATGCGCACTGTGACCAGGGCACAGTTCTAGATCTCCAAAGCGAGCACTGCCTGAAACATACTCAGTACACCTTACATTTCTGCAATGAATAAATGTATTTCATGTTACTGAAATATTAAAACGATGTCATCCTCTAGGTGAAGGATTCAGAACTTCACAACCTTATAGACAAGGGAGTTACTAAGAGGTTCAGGGGAAGGGTAGCAGAAAGAGAGAAGTTTCCTGGGCCTTCATCTCTGCAGATATATGAGTCTCAAACACACACCCACAGAGCTGCAGTCATGCAAGAGGGTGATGGAATGAAATGCAAAAAAAAAAAAAAAAAAAAAAAAAAAAAAAAAAAAAAAAAAAAAACAAAAAACATAAAAATCACCACTTGAAAGAAAGCAATTTAATTTAACAACCATTAAATAGATACGCAGAGAAAATGACCAATGCATAACTTCGATTCAAGAAAAGGAAATGAAGCGTATCATTGTTCTTCAATTACTCCTCTTATCAGCCAGGCTCCCACTGCAGGGCTCAAAACCTCAGGCTTCCAGGTCGGAGACTTCAGTAATCCTGATTTACTGTACCAAGACCCTCGCAAATCTTAGTTAAATGAGTACTCTAAATAAACCAGCCTCTACTCCTATCTCTCAGATATTGGTAGAATGTGTTCTTTTCCTCCTGACTGTAGAATTCAAGCAGGAGAGGAAAGTATGTGCTTTAAAAAAAAGAAAAAAAAAAGATATATGTTAGAGTGGAGAACTTAATCACACGGTTCTATTTCATAAAACAGTGTCCTCACTGGAAGGTCTGGTGGCTCTGAACTGTGACAGTACCACATATGTGGTTAGGCAGCCGCCTGCCAACAAATGTTCCGGGCCTCTAGGTCCATGTGAAGAGGACAGTGACTGTTCTCAGAAGTGCAGAGACATATGTATTTTCTTTCTGCATAAGAGTGGACAATAACCCGAGGAAAAGGCAATATTTTAAATTCTCATAGCTCCCACTCAAACTAGAGAAATTGTTTTGGACTACATCCCAGTTTAGTTTCATATTCCTTTTTTTTTTAAAAAAACCACTGAAAAATACTTTCTTTTTCCCTTCCTTGAAATAAGTCTCATAGATTTTGAAAATCATTGGAAATTCATAACTTTGGAGCCACTAGGTCAAAAGCATTACCTGTCTCCACTCCCCCTTCCCATGCACACACACCAGCATGTTCTCACACACAGTTCCACACACAGAATGGGTAACAGCTGAATTAAGAGACAGTCTTCCAGGACTGGGAGTGGGGGCAGATGAATTTATGATTAATGCTGCTCTAAAGCTCCATGACATTCAAGCTGCATTCACTACACGATATTATAAAAGTGTCACCTCATAAAACTAAAAACGAGGGTTTAAATCATTGCTCAAGTGAAAAAGTAATTTCAGACAAAAATATCTATCACGTATAAAATATTTATTGAGTGGCATCTACTGTTATACATAATTTATGAAACACCTCTTTGATAAGATGGAATATTTAACATAGCAGAATTGGCCATCCCTCCCCCAACTCTAGGAAGGCCATGTCCCAAAGAAATGGGAAAATATATAGAGCTGCACGTATTTTGTATTGAAACAAAGCTTCTGGCAACCAATTATTGTATAAAAAAGAAACCATAGCCTGACTAAAAGTGTCAAAACATACTATCAGCTTATTTTAAACATTACGTTCATTACATTTGCAAATAATATGTTCAATATGTTTCTCTGAACCTAAAACATGTGTCCAGTGCCTTTGTGCTCACTGTGTCACTTCTGGCACATTCCAGCAGTTCAGGTGAGTTACAGGCAGGGCTGCCTGATTCCAGGGGAGGAGACCACACAAGGGCTTAGTTCA